GGCATGGCGTGATGAGGACCTGATTGTCGCGACGCGAGGGCTCATGCGGCGCGACGCCTGCGAGTGTCGTGGTCTTTGTCGCACGACCTTTATGCTTTGGACTCGTATACGCTCGTCCGACCTCCGAATTTGGTTTTGTTTCTCCCGTGTACTCCCAACAAAATGCTATCTTTAACCATGCTCACCCGGTCCATTTATCATGAAAATCAAATCTTCCCGAGTCTTACACCCTGCACATCAACAACAAGGAAAAATCGAAAAATGACCGAAAAATGAACGAAAATACCTAAATGACTCCAAACAGAGATAAACACGGAACAAAACACAAAACAAACTAAAAGCAAACAAAAAGACTCAAAATAGGGGAAAAAGCAAGGGAAAATAACAACGAAAAATGCACAAAAAATTGGGACAAACAACTCCCCCACACTAAAACCTTTGTTCGTCCCGAACAAAAAGAAAAGAAATGACACGATAACAAGCAAACGAGCATGGATAATGGTTTCAGATAAGACAAGTCTCAAATTAATCAACTTAGCCGAGGAGAATTCCAATGACCAATATAGCACATCTCAATTACGACTCAAATGCAACGCTTTGAAAAGACAAACTATCACGCACGGAAGTATAATGTGTAAATGCCTCACTCGCTTTCTTACATAAATATGAAATGGGTTCGCTCAATTGTTCGATCATCATGCATCAACATAAGCTTGCTTATCGTCTATTCAGTTAGAAGGTCTAATCAACTAATCTTGTAGAATCAACAAACCCTGACTCAACAAATCAATATTCAATCGTTTCAATCGCAAAATCAAAGTGTCACTCTTCGAAGTGTCACTCTTAGGTTATATCAAATTATCAAGCAAGAATTCATCAATTCCTAGCATAATCAATTCGCACAAGAATGATCAAATTAAAGCCCAACAATTACGATCAACCCCTTGAGGGATTAGAATGAAGGGTATCAACACCTCTCATTCTAATTCTCGATGAATTAATTGGTTAAAACTTGACGAGATCGGCCATCCTTCTTGTTGGGGATTCTATCACCTCGGTGACAATAGTACCTATGATCAACCCATTGAGGGTTGTTATAGCTTCTTCTATGTTCAATTCAACTTAGGCCTTCATTTTCTCTCTACCCCGCACTGGTCGAACTGTGCGGGATAAACATTTTACCTTTTAACCAGCTCCCCCTATCTCTATTTGATTTTTAACCACTTTTGTCATCCTCTGTTTTATCTATCTAGGTCGAATTGGCCTAGACTTCTTCTTTTATTATTTTATGGCTTCATAGCAAGTAGGTGACCCTACCTGAAGGGTCGGAACAACACCCACTTCATCTCCGACATTCCCTAGAATTTCCCAATTAGAAACATAAGTTTGTGTATGTCCAACCTGATACTCCTTTTCCTTGGGCCTCGACTTCTTGTCTTAAGGATCTCTCCATTGAGGCTGAGAACCCCCCTCAAAATCTTGTGTTTGACCAATGCATCACTCTCTAGAACTCTAACCCAGTCGCTTCCCTGACTTTCCTTAAGAATAATCATCTTTTAGATCACTGTGGCATACTTACCTATAAACCATATCCCACCCATCGAACAAACTCTTTAAGATCTCGGTATCGTCGATGGGGCGAGGGAAGGTGGTTTCAACCGCTGATTATTATTACTGTGCTAATAGGACTTTGCGGCTAGGCCCTCACTCTATCTCAGCAAGAGAATTGGGAAAAAAAGAAATCAACCAAGATAACGACTCCCCAACAATCCTTACAATCAACAAAGCACCTTCTCCAACCAAGAAGCACGAGACTCAACCTTCTTCGACCAAAGAACATGGACCCGTCTCCCCTTCGACTGAGGAGCACGAACTCGCCTCCTACTCAACCAAAGAGCAAGGCGTTGCCTCCTCCACACCTCATCGACCAATCTAGTGGTCAAAAAACAACCATCTCCTTCGAGCAAATAATCACTCGACATAGCTCTTGAAAATGCCCACTTACTCATGACGAGGAGAGCAATAAACGACCTCATCTTGAGGTGAATCTTCGATCAATCACTTCCCCCCTTCCCTGGTGAAGGCCAATGGGAAGGATTTAACTTCATGGATTTGGTATTGTATTGAAGGGGTGCTTTTGACCCCCTCTGTAGTGTTTTGCTGTCATTTTGTAGACTGAATGTAAGACTCTTGAGTTCTAATGCATGTATGTTATCATTGAAAAAAAAGCATCATAAAATATTCAATTTATATGAATATATTGATCGGTATTGCTATAGAGTCAATAGTTGGATCCTTAATGGAGCCAACCGATTTTGTGGCATGCATACATGGAAATTTATATAAATACTACTAATCTTATTTTACCTTTTATTTTATTAATTGGCACTTCTCTTTGTTGGAGAACGAAACAGAAGAACTCCATCGATTAAGAAAAACTGATTAGACCGTCGACTTGTTTTATATGTTTTTGTAGGTATTTTGTATGTATTTATGTGTTTTATTTGTGTTCGTTTATTTTATTTAGGTTTTTCCCGGTCCATTTAGTAGTTTTTGCGTTTATGTGTTCTTGTATCGTTTTAGTGTCCTGTACTTTTTATTTCTCTTTTTATTGTTTATTTTATAGGAATTTGCATCTCGGAGAGTCGCAAATTGCTGAAAAATTGTCAAAAAATTACCGGATAAGTCCCCGGAGAGTTCCTGAGCAATCACCTCGGCCAGTACTCGATGGACCCGTGAGCCCCGCAGCTACCGTGCCCCCAGTGACCTAGATCGCCTGTTCGCCCACGTGCGCTCCCCTGTGCACGCCCCCGTGCCTGCACGCCCGCGCGACCCGCGCCCGCACCCGCAAGCCAGCGACCAGTCCGCCAGCAGACGAATGTCCATGGCTGTGCACTCGCGACCCCGCGGGCATTTTGGCCTTGCGAGTGCTGTTTAGTAAATATGTGTGTTTTAGTGTATGTTTGAGATGTGGCTATAAATAGACTTAGTGCTTTATATTTTTGAAAGAATTCCTCATTTGCGCCTTTTCTTCTTAGTTTTTACACAACGTATTTCTCAAATAACATTTTTTTTTAAATTTGAATTCAAACTTTCATTCAGCCGCGATATTCCAAAACAAAAGTACTAAGAATAGTAACTTTGAAATTTTTAAGCGAAAATTTTACTACTATTTCAAAAAATTCCTCTCTTTATTATATAGTAATAGATTTGAAAATTTTATTAAAAAAATAGATCCATCTTTTTTATACTTGTTCATTTTTTGTAAGATTTATATAGTAATATAGTAATAGTTACTAGATTTGAAAACTTTATTAAAGAAAATATATAGATCCATCTTTTTTATACTTGTTCATTTTTTGTAAGATGGACAAATACAATAGTATTGAATGTTAATTAGTAAACAATTTTTAGGAAATAAATTGAAATAATTAAGGTTAAACTTGACATCCTTCAATGATTAAGCTAGTCCTACGCCCCTGCAAGTGTACAGATAATACCATGAACGTATAGTTCAGGTTGTGATCAAAGGTTCTTTGACCTCAGCAAGCTCCCAACAGGACATGGAATATATGACCCTCCCTTTCCAACTCATCAACAGCCACTGATTCTCCTCCTCCACCACGATATCCCGGTGGTACGAACCCAAACCCTTCACCTTCCTCAAGACTGAGCCCGTTAGCTCCCTCCCGAACGAGACCTGCTTGAACCCCGCCTGAACGTGCCGCCCGTCAAAGACGGAGCCATATAAGGCCCAGGGGGGCCCGTGGGCCCCCCCTCATTTTTTTGAAAAATCAATATATATATATTTATAAAGAAAATATAATAAATAATCTATATA